TTTCCAAAACTCCCACTACAAAATGGCTTGATTCACTTATACAGAGCATCCATGAAACATGGGTGGATGCTCAAAACTACTAAAATTTATTGAAAATACACAATTAAAATAAATCTCTTTTATTGAATAATGACCAAATTGCCCTTTAGCACTTTTCATGAAATGATAAAACCATCCCTCCTTGAGGGACCTTTTGCCATTGTTAGGCCTCAGGAGCTTTTTTGAACACTTTCGATATCAATTCGAACGATTAAATACTGTAGAATTGTTGCTTACATCATTACACACGTTTTGATATCCATTAATTGACTTGAATCGGAGTTTTGAGGAAGATCCCAAAATCCGTTCAAGTTCATAAACTTTTGATTCTTTGACCACCGATATAGAAGATCAGTGATGTTTCGATAGCTCTTTTTGATAAAAAATTGAAAATGATTCCGTCATTTTGTGATAAAATTTGTCCAATTTGATCTTTGTTTAAGCATATTCCAAATTGGGAAGATCTCCAGAAAATGGAACTTTGGCCATCGAAAAATTTGCCCTCTTTAACCTCAAAATTCAGTGTCGTTCGACCTCCGATGAGGCATAAACTTTATATCAAATCGAAACCCTTCGAAGCATGGTCGCAACGGACCTATATTTGTGACGATCCGATGTTAGGATCTAGAGATATAGCCTCTTGAATAATGAGATGTTTCACTTTTAGAATCTAAAAATTGAAATGTTTCGAATCCAATTTCTTACTAAAAATTCTCCTATTTTGAGATACTTCATGACGTGTGCCATATGTCAAAACAAGCGTATCGTCGAGATTTAGCTCGTGTCCAAATTTGAGAGCAATTGGACTTGAAATGAGCAAGTTATGAGCATTACAAATTCATCCTGAAATTGGAAAACACAGTTTTCATAAATAGAAACTGGTTTACCAAGGTTGCACTACAATAATGTAAGATCCACCAATTTATGGTAAATTAGGCCCAGAATGGTTCCGGAGGGTCTGATTAAGCCAAAAATTAGTATATGAGACTTTTTTGACATTCTGGATCTAATGACAGTGGTCTAGTGCTCATCTAAAATCCCAATAATAAGTTTTTTGACATTCCGGATCTAATGACAGTGGTATAGTGCTCATCTAAAATCCCAATAATAGGGTTGTAATTACAAGACCCCTTTTCAGCATGATAGGAATCTTAAAACTCGTAAGATTGCGACAAAACTTTACGGGTGTCTTTAGGGAATCCGAAATCCCTCTCATGCATTTTGAGGCTGACATGACACTTTTTTCTGAGGTCACTCAATAACAGACTTATTTCATTAGTGCTCCCATGGTCTGGCGGCCTTTTTTATACTGACGGAACCAGGTTGTGAATAACTCATTCCTTAATCATCCGAGGTATACAAGTGCGTCAACTCCGAATGCTAGTCTTCGAGAGGAGCGAGAAGTGTAACATTCAAAACAAAACCTGCCTGAGTTCATCTTTTAAATCCTTACTGAGGCTTTGTTTAAGGGCTTGATAAACCTAATACTGTTAGAATCCCTCTTCTGATGGAGCATGATGATTGGGGGCCTTACTTAAGGGCTTGCTTCCCAACTCAACAATGCTTCCAATTGAGCCAATTGTTGGGTGCCTTTGAAGCTTGAATCCCAACCAAGTGGCATGTTTGATTCCAACAAATGGGGACCTTGTTTAAGGGCTTAGGACCCAATCTTGTCAGAATCCAGATGTTTCTGGTAGTCGGGGGCCTTGCTTGGAGACTTTCCTCCCAATCCATCATATTTTTCTTGAGAAGCTAGCAGCGAGGGCCTTTGAAGGGCTTTTGTTCCCATTTTACACCAAGTCTTTGGTTTATCTAGTTTGTTTTAGATAGACGATTAAGGAGAGCCCTTCATGGGGAATAAGAGCTGCTTCACCAGGATTTGGACTGATGGTACATGGGGAATTACACCTAATATACCAGGCAGGTTTAATCAAGGGCTTTTTGATGGCCGTCCTGAAAGTCTAAACCTGTTGATAACTGGGGCCTTAGGAAGACGGTCTCTTTCGGGCTTGAAACTGGATCATACTAGGCTTAGTCAAGGGGTTTTTGGTGGCCATCCTGAAAGTCTAAACGTGTAAGTAGATGGGAGCCTTGATAAGACGGTTACCCTCAGAGTTGGGGTGTTGATCCAAGCTAGGCAATCAATAGCCTTTGTGAACTTCTATCTCAAACTATCAGCGTGCTCTTCTTGTTTTTGGTTGACGTCTTGAATTGAAAAGTCTCTTTGACAAGTGGCTAATCTGACTTGCCATCTTGCTGATGATTCTAATCTTCAAGAGCCCTATGGAGGCTGACCTGTGTCATTAGATTTTCTTAAATTGTCTTTGGTCGCAGTGACAAGGTACCCTCGCGAGGGATATTGATCCCTAAACCACTGAGCTTTTACTATCTTTGAACGGGCTGAAGCTGTCTGTGAGGGTGAGCGCTACATCAACCTTTTATTAGTCCAAGCGCCCTTTTGGGTTTTCACCTGAACCAAATAGAAGTGATGCTGTAGAATGGTTTTCACCAACTTTCTTTTTATTAGGCTCTTTTACCTATGATTTCTAGATCACATCCACCTCTTTATTTTCATTTTTACTCATGGCGCCCTTTCGAGTTTTCACCATGCTTGGTTTTCTGAATGCTTTTACTTATGGCTTCAATGTCCACACTCGTCTTCTCATTTTTACTTATGGCACCCTTTTGGGTTTTCACTATGCCTAGGTTTTTTTTTTTTGGCAATTTTACTCTTAGCTTCGTGGCTATGTCTGTTAGAAGCTCTCACTTTTACTCATGATGATCCTCATCGAATACTTATTATACTTGGCTTCTTTTTTTTTGAACATTTTATCGACAACTTCATGGTTGTATCCGTCTTTATGAAAGAGAAGGCCTCCTCCTCAATGACGAAGATGATGGAGGGGTCATGCATGTATGGGGTTCATTGGGGTACTACATATCATGGGTGAGGCTTATTAGAAGGGTGAAACACCACTGGGGATGTCTTTGGTTTTGAAAGAGGTTGCAAGGTGATAAGTGGTTCACACTTTCTAGAGAACAAGGGCTCCGATGTGTTGTAAGATAACGGGTCCATGAGAGCCCACTGAGGATAACATGTGCTCATGTTTTTAAAGGTAAAGGGATGGCTACAATTCTGGGGATTGACGAGCTTCCCTGAAGTGATAACATGCTTCATGCACTGAATATGACACAACCGCACCACTGGTGATGATGAGTCATATAACCCCTGATGGTCTTTACTCATGGGGAATTATAAAGGCGTAGGTGAGTGGGATATTTTTCTATGGTATGGCTTCATGGGGTAATGAAGCTTTTTAGGTGAAGCCCAGGTGAAGGGGTTTTAGCATGGTCTTCGGTAATGTCCTGATCTTGACAAATGAAATTTCAATGGAAGAGGTAATTTTTTTTGGATAAGAAGTCTTTACCTGACTCATGGAGGTGATGGGTCAGGTTGATGTGGTGATTGGGAGTCCGATGGTTTCCGTGAGCCACCAGAGTCTACAACGAAAGCCATACATCAAGAAACTGATAGGCTTAACTGCATGTCTGAGGCTTATATAGGGGTGCACCTCCAATGGGGATTGAGCACATTGCAAAATGCTTGGTGCCTTCAGTGGGGCATTTTAAGGATAGAAGTATCCTTATACAAATGATGATGACCTGGGTAAGGTTCAGAATTTCAGAAATATCGAACCCAATGGGTTTGAAGCCCCAAAGAATGTGAAAGCTTTTAATAAACTTTTGAAATGTGGGTCTTCAAGTCTCGATAATTTTTAGGTATAAAGAATGAGTTATGGATGGGTAGTATGGTCCCATTGGAGTTCGGTGCTTTTGGGCTCAAAGGTTAGCCAAACCCAGGTTCATTGGGTTAATGGGCTCAAAGTTTGGGCTTTAATGGGTTCGAATGGGACCAATGGGCTCAAGGTTTTGGGCTTCACCAAGTCACGAAGGGGTCAGTGTGTGCAAGTAAGTACAAAGGGTGTAACCCCTTTGTTCACTTTGTGTGATAGAGTGTAGAGTGTGTTGAGGTCACGGGTGAGCTGTGGGCTTGTGTAAGTGGTTGAGAGAGAGAGAGAGTGGCATAAGAGAGTGAAATGAGAGAGACTGGGATGGACGGATTTGCCCTTTAATTGCAGGTCCTACCTGTTAAGAGAGAGAAAATAGAGATAAAAGGTGGATGGGATGACGGGCCTGCAGTTGGGTGCGGGCTCATGCTCGCACGTAGAGACAGAAATGAGAGGGTTGAGAGAGAAAGAGAAATGATGGGCCAACGGCTGGGTGCGGGCCCGTGCTTGACTAAGAGAGGTAGACAAAAGGGTTTGAGAGAGAAGAGAGTGACGGGCCCAGGCCCTGCAGTTGGGCCCATGCCCTGCAGTTGGGCACAGGCCCGTAGTTGGGTACGGGCCCGTATTCAGATGAAGAGGGGGAGGGGAAAACGAGAAAGAGTTTGACAGGCCTGCGGTTGGGTGCGGGTCCGTGCATGAAGGGGGGAGAGATGAGAGAGACGAGAGAGGGATAGGTTGACGGGCCAACGGTGGGCCCCAGGTGTCTTGACAAGAAAGCGAGAGAAGGGCTCGTGGAGGTCCGTCAGGGCCTTAATGGGCCCTACGGCCCGAGATAGAGGCCCATTTGCAGCCTACCTTGGGTGCCTCTTGATTGTGCCAGGCTCAAGCTTCGCAACGAGCCCGGTCTCGCCCCATTTTGACACTGTTAAGGGCGTTTTTTTTCTTTGTGGTCTTGAGGGGATTTTTCAAATTCAAAGTCTACACAAGGGCAGGGGCAGTCATTTTATCCTTTTCTTGGACTGTAAGGCCCTCCATTTTCTTACAAATTCCACTCTCTTCTCTTGTGGACCTTTATGGAATAAATGACTTATGAGGGCATATGGGGGAAGATATTTTTCAAAAGCAATATAAGAGTGAGAGGGGCTTCATTTCCTCTTTTCTGACCTTCATTTTTTTGGTTTCTAATGGGAGAGACCTCTCTAGAGTGAGAAAGTGACTTTTGAAGCCATGGCTAGCTCTTCCCAACCCCAAGGTAACAATTTCTTCCATTCTTTCTTTTCATGCTTTCTATGCTTTTGCTTATTCGATATTTCCTATTCCTTCGTCTTGTATGCTCCATGCTTAGCCTTATGCATGAATATTTCTATTAGAGCATAGTCTAGCATAGTTTTGTATTCTTTGAGCATAGTCTTGATGATTGAGCATCCTTGGAAATAGTTAAGCATTTTTTAGCATGCTTGATAATTTCTTGAGCATCTTTAGCATATTTTGAGCATCTGCATATTTTGAACATCTTGACATCTTTTGAGCATCTTCGAAGCACCTTTTTGACCATTTTGGCATCTATCTTGAGCATTCAGGCATCTTGGAACACTTTGAGCATCTTTTAAAACATTTTGGGGCACCCCTTCATATCCCCATACGTTTTCGTGCACGACTTAGCATCTTCAGGTTATTTATAGCATAGTTATGCACCTCTTCGCATTCCCATGCATTTTCGAACTTGACTTCACATCTTCAGCATCTTCAAGGCATAGTTATGCATTTTTATGCACCATTGAGCATATCATGCATTTTCGAATCATAACTTGACATTTTCAGCATCTTCATGGCATAGTTATCCATTTTTATGCACCATTGAGCATAGTCATGCATTTTCATGCATTTTCTGATATAGTTGAGCATAGTTATGCATACTATTTTCAGAGCACTTTTTATGCATAGTTTGGCACTTTTGAGCACAGTCATGCATTTTCGTGCATTTTTTAGCATTTCTATGCCAGAAAAGGGAGCTCTTCGGAGTCACATTTCCTGATGGGATTGACCCTCGGACTTGTGATCTCTTTAGACCTCCCGGGTGCTTTGGATTAGCGAAGCACTTTTTCTGTAAACCTCCTGCATACAAAGGGGATGCTGTTGAAATTTTTCAAAAACCTTGATGCCTTCTTTTCTTTCTTTTTTTTTCTTCTTTCTTGAAATATAAGCTCTTTCAAATTTTCCCTTTGCTCATTTCTCACTCTTCTTTCGTACTTCTTATGCAGTGAAGATTCTTGATGTAACTCAACTACCAAGCTATGGTGAATTAGGCACTGGTTCTTACACTGGTGCTTCCTTCACCGGAAGTTCATCTCTCAGAGGTCTTAATCTCACTTGTGACTTGGAATGTCCTTTGAGCGTCACCTATGTTGGTGAACACGCTCAATTTTACCTTTATGAGAACAAGAATTGTGAACGAATAATGCAAGAAGATGGTATACGTATATACCATTCCCTGCATAGGAATTATGACTCAATCGCAGATCTCCCTACCTTAGGGAAACGAATGATGATGAACAAGTGTTTTCCTTGGTCTGCTCGTGGACTTCGGTTTGAAGGGGAGAATCAGTACATGAGAGAGAACAACACCTGGACTTTTGATGTGCTTTCTAAAGATCTTGAATCATGTTCTTTAGCTGCAGCTTGCCAATGTTAAGCTGGGTACTATGATAGATGCTCCAATACGATAAGAGCTCTATTGGAGACCTGGAGCTACATGAGCAACAACTGGCTTCTTGATCACGATGAAGGGGGAATTACTCTCCTTGATATGCATTTTATTGGCAGGTTACCCATGTTAGGAGAAATGTATGAGGAGTTCATCCCTAACAATGGGGTGATTTTTGGTACTCAACTCATAAATGGTGAAGCACCACCTCCTAGACTTCGTGAGCTCTTTGAAATTTACCAAATCTTACTCTTAGATTTCATCGTTTGGTAACATTTCCTCCATGGGAACTGTAAAGATAAGGAGGAACCTGATTCCAGTATCACTTGGGATGACACTCAAGAGAGGGAAATAGGGAGTAAAGCATATGTGATTCCTCCTCGGAGGTCTGAAAAGGATCATTTATACTTGGCAGCTTACCTCACTCTTTTCTTGTGAAGTTTGCACTTCCGGGGTCAAGGAGCAATGCACACTCTCCTGGGTGTTTCTTTGTGGCATGCGAGCTTGCCCAAGGGCGTCAGTATGCCCTGGCTCAGCCGGTTCTTTGCACTATATACCAAGGCCTGGGGGTGATTGCCCTTGGCAAGGCAGTATCTAGTGAGGGCAGTAGTGAATCTTTCAATGAGGAGGTCCTTCCTGGTCGCTTTACAATCGCCTTCCCTGTCCACTACGTTTTTGGTTGGCTCTCAGCTTATTTCCTGAAGACGGATTCCCCTTATTCCCCTGAGGCATACGAGATCGATGAGGACCTGTCAGAGAATATTTGCCCCCAGATGATGAGAATTGCCGGGAAGAAAACGACATTCAGGGGCCCAATGAGGCACTTCAATTTCTGGCTGCTAGCTCTTTCTTTTCTCTTGGAAGCCCTTTCCCTGTAGGTGGCACCACTGACTATGTCTTTACTAATGCCTTTGGCGATGTTTTTGATGGCTACACCACTGAGACTCGGGAAGTGATGTATCTTTTAAGTGTCAGAAGATGCGATCTTCCTTATCGGGGTGTCAGTGACAGCAAGATTGAGGCCTATTATCCTCACAGATTTGCACACTAACATGACTTGGACCAGGGATGTTCATTCTCAGTGCTCTTAGAGAAGAAGTATGGAAAGAACAGGGCTTTGCAAGACCAACATGCTCTAGGTGTGAGGCGTGAATCCTGGACAGACAACGATATGCGAATGGCATGGGAAACTTGCCTTACTCTCACTAGGCTGAGGCAGTTCGTTGTTCCCCACTATGGTCGTGTCGGCCATGCTATTGAGAGCCATTGGTAGCAGTGGAACATTACTAACCTCTCTTATTGGAAGGTGACGTATGAGTAGAGAGCCATCAATTCCACCAAGGGTGATACAAAGAATGAAAAACATTTCACGCCTCCCATATTTTCGAAAGTTTGTGAGCCTGACTACCATTAAACTGGAAAGAGCTCAGTATGCCTCAGTCATTAGCTGTAAACCATGCTTCCATTCATTACCTCTCCCTTGAGGGTGAAACCAAGTCCCTCTTTGATAATCTTTGCTCTATCTTTAGTTGGACGAAGGGGCATGCTGTTTCGGGCCACAAGGGACACCCCAGACAAGATCTTAATGCTTTGATAAGGAGTGGATCACACTCAACCCTAGCTGCCAAGTCTCGTTATGGCCAGCACACCAGGAGTGCTTTTGCAAAGACAGGGATCAAGGCAACTCAAGGTAAAATAGCAAAGAAGAAGGATGTACCAGAGAGTGCCGAATCTGATGCTACTTTAAAGCCAGAGGTTCGTCGAAAGAGCGCTCGGTTGAGCAAATGAACTTCTTCATATCAAAATGTATCTCCCTCTGTACAATTTGCCTTGGGTGAAGCACATGATTTGCCTCTAAGACCTAAGAAACATGCAAAGAGCAAGGCTTCCCCTAGCCAAAAGCTATTATCAGAGGTGGTACCTCCCATTCAAGAGCCAGCCATTGCAGCACTCGAGGTCGTCATAGCTCAACCGACTCCTTCTGATCAAATGTCTTTTAGTCTGAGCTGCCATTCAGAGAGCATTTCTGCCCCTATGGTGGAGACAGTTTGCATAGTCATGGAGGCACCTAGTGATGGTGGCCCAACCGATGTTGTGAGCACTGAGCTTGAGATAGTGGAGCCTTCGACACTCTCACCACCAGGTCAGACAGACTTTCCTTGCGTCATTACTGAAGAAGCAGGCAATCTGGATGATGATATCAAGGCAATCAGTGTCGTCCCAGATATAGAGGTAACGGCTTCAAAAGTACCCATTTCAACAGTTTTAGAGGCAGAGCCTAGATTCCAGCCAGATGCTCCTTCAAGTGAGACTTTGACTCTTGTACCTCACAAACCAGCCATTATTGTTGAAGTTCCCCCTCTTGTTGTGGTCAGCTCTTCTTTGCTTTCGTCAGTATCAAGCACTTTATCAAATAAGGAGGCTTCTTTGGTAACAACCTTATTACATACTAGCCTTCAATGATTAAAGAGATGCTCTCTCTCATATCTTGAACTTGAGATTGTCGCAGTTAGAGGCTATGCCACTGCTATAAGCAACTTTAGTTTTGAAAAAGAGACATTTGGCCATTTTGAAGGTCTTCTGAATGACCTAGAATGGTGGAGAGTCGAAGCTCTATAGAGTGAATCTGACGTGCAGGAGCTATGCGGGACTCAACTGACTTCCTTGGAAGGTTTTTACACGTCATTTTTTATGTACTTGTATCCCCATGATGAATAACGTGAGAATCGGTAGTAACCTGGTCCCGCCGATGCTCAAGACGCTGTCAGACCACATGGACACTATAACAATAAACTTAAAACTGGGTGACCTCTGAAGAAGTGTCAGAATGGCCTCAAATTCCATGAGGGGGTAGTTTTGGATACCCTAAGGACACCCACAAAGTTTTGTTGCGTTATGACGATTTTCGATATGATTAGGACAAAACTTGGTTTTCAAATCCAGTTCCTATCATGTTGAAAATGGATTTTATAATTATAGCCCTATTTTTTGAGTCTCAAAACAGTATCATACCACTACCATTGTGTTCGGAACATCAAAAAACTCATAGGTACCAATTTTTGGCTCAATCGGACTTTCGAGGTCTATTTTATATCGAACTTACCATAAAAGCGTGGGTTTTACACTATCGCGGTGAAACCTTGGTGAACCAGTTTCCATTAATGGAAACTTTGTTTTCTCATTTTGGAATGATTTTCAAATGCTCATAACTCACTCATTTTAAGTCCAATTAAGCTCAAATTTGGGTACGAGCTAGATCTCGACGACCGCTCGTTTTGACATATGACACGTGTCATGGTGTGACCCGAAACGAGAGAATTTTTAGAGAGACGATGGGCTCGAAACATGAATTTTAGATTTTATAAAGAACATCCAATTCTTTGAGAGGTCATAGGTCAAGATCCTAACATTGGATCGTTGTAAGTATGGGTCAGTTGCGATCATGCTTCAAAGATCTACAGTTTGATATATTTTATATGTATGATTGAAAGTCGGATGATACGAATTTTGAGGTCAAAATTGATGTCCTTTCTGGTCGTCGAAATCCCATTTTTTGGTGACTTCGTAAAATTAGAACGTGCTCAAACGAAGGCCAAAATTGACGAAATTTATTGCAAATTGATCGTGATAGTATCCTCTTCAATTTGTGATAAAAAAATGAAGGTTTACAACATCATAGATCGTGTCAGATTGGTGTTCAAAGAATCACAAGTTTATGGAACTTGGCTGAATTTTGGTTTTTCCTAAAATGTCCATTTCAAGATGATCAAAGGGTATAAAAATGTGCGCAATAGTTCAAGCATCGATTCTACGACGATTGATTGCCCCAATTACCATTGTAAGCGTAAAAAAAAGCTACCGAGGCCTAGCAATGGCAAGATGCCTCTCATGGAAGGATGATTTTGTCATTTGTTGTAAAGTGTTTAGGGGTATTTTGGTCGAAAAATAAGATTAATATTTTAATTCATAAAATGTGCATTTTTGACAATTTTGGGTGTTTTTGAGCATTCCATCCTCGTTTAGTAGTTGTTCTATATAAGGAACGCAGCTCATTTGTAATACTCTTTTAGACTTTTGAATACTTGTGCATTTAAAGTGAAATTCTTGAATTCTTAGTTTGTTCTTTTACTTTGCTTTCATGTTCATGATTCAAGATAAGAGGAGAGAGAAATATTTCCTAGAGAGATAAAATACCCTTAGAACCCTATACTTCTTAGAACCCCAAAGTTCCAACTCCTAGAACCCTATACTTCCTAGAATCCCAAAGTTGCGATCCTTTTAGGATTCCTAACTCCCAAACCCATACTCCCTAGTACTCCTAGCTTCCATACATCTTATAACCCTTAGCTCTCAATCCATACACCTTACACCCCACCTTGGCTTAACTATACCTTACCCTACACCATACACCATAATGTACTATGCACATTAGCATGTCCTATACACCTTAGTTATCCTACACTTTACCCTATACCATACACACTAGTTCCTATAAACCATACCTTAACCTAACCTACTTAAAACCATACACCTAAGCCTTGGACCTTAGTCTTGACCCACCAAGACCAAGACATCTCTCTCACATGCATGCAAAGGGACTAATGAAGGTGTAATTAGGTTCAAGCTCATTCTAGATCCACTTTCTCCTCTCTCTCTCTGTTCTTCTTCTCTCTCATTCTCTTTTCTTTCTCTTCCTTTTCTATTTCTGTCTCCTCTCTATTCCTTCTCTCTTTTTCTCTCTTTCTTTTTTCTTCTTTTCTCTCTGTTCCCTCTCTCCTCTCTTTTTCCCTCCGATTACGCTTCCTCTCCTCTCTCTCTCTCTACTCGGACCCAAGGCGAGTTTGAGCCTCTCACTCTCTCTTCTCTATTTACTCTCTCATTCTCTCTCTCTTTGTCCATTCTGTCGTCTCTTTCACATCTAAAGCTATAGACTCGCACCTAGGATGGGCCCAGCTTACCCCTCTATCTATTTCTCTCTTATGTTCTCTCTCCCCTCTCGTCCATATTATAGACCCATGCCCTAGGCGAGTCTGCCTCTCCTTCTTTCTCTTTCCTTTACTCTCTCTCTACCCTCTCTCTCAAATATACAGACCCGTGCCTTAGGCGAGTCCATCTCTCTCCCTCTCTATTCTCTCATTATCTCTCCCTCCATCCCCCATTAGTTGATAGACCCATGTCATAGGCGAGTCCATCTCTCACCTCTCTATTCTATCATCGTCTCTCTCTCTCTCATTCATTGACGGACCCATCCCATAGGCGGGTCCATCTCTCCCCTCTCTATTCTCTCATCATCTCTCTCTCTCCTCCATTAGTTGATGGACTAGCATCATAAGTGGGTCCATCTCTCCCCTCTCTATTCGCTCATTGTATCTCTCTACCTCATTAGTTGACCGCGCCATAGGCGCCTCAATCTTCCCCCCCTCTACACTCATTTTCTCTCATCCTCTCTTGTTTTGGACTCGCACTTAAGGCGGGTTTGCCACTTCTTCACCTCTTTAACCCCATCCTCCTCATTTTTTAATTCACACACTCACTTCTCATTCAACTATTTTCATTTCCATTTCATTTCATTGTTTCTCTATTCTCACTCATTTCTAAACACTCTCTTCTCTGTCTAAATCATACATCAACTGCTCATTCATTTTACGTCATCATTCTTTTATTTCTCTCATTACTAATGGATTCTTTCACCTCTTGAGCACTCGATTTGGGGTCAACTTGAGATAGTTCCCTAGGATTTTAACTCTCGGATTGCTACTCTAACCATTAGCTTGTACAATGAAGTAGGGTCATAAGAGACACTGGTTCTCTTACACTCGGTCACTCAGATTTGGGTCATTTTACGTTAGCATTTTTTAGAGTTCTAACCCTTTCACTACTCTAACCACTGAGTCACACAGTGTTCGGGTCGTGAGAGGCTTTCATCTCATCTCGCTCTCTCTCTCTCACTCTCACTTTCTTCTCTCCCTTGATCACATTCAGGAGGTTCTTTGGTTTAGTGACATAGTTATAAGCTCAGTCCTGTAACTCCACTTTGCAAATCTTCCGGGTGTCAAGGTTCGTGCATGATACTTTTTCTTGTCTTCGGTAATACCTCTTGGGAGGTTATACCGGGAGGCTGCCCAATTTTCTTTGGGTCATCCCTTTACTTTTTTCTTTACTTTGCCTTCATCATCTTTTGTTTTTTTCCCTTCTAGACTAAGTCCTTATCAAGTTCTTATTCTCAATCTCTGCTTTCTTATCTCTCTTATTTGTTTCTTCTACTACTCCATAATATCTCAAAACTAGAGCCATTAACCTATAAAGCACATCAAGGAAGAGTTTACTTTAATTGGATTTCATTAGCAGTTTTTAAGTGAGAGTTCAGGTGAGTTCTTGCGTTTAGAGAGGGGGGCTGCATCCAAACCACACTGCTGGACAACTAAAGGGCTTTCATTCATTGATCTAAGAGGGAAATAGCCCAGCTTATCCCACGAACTCAAACCACAGTGAGGTAGGTGCTTGAGTCCATCTCTTCATCTCTTTAAAATCATCTCATAGTTGTACATACCTATATGCACACGCCGCACTAGTAGCACAAGCGCTCGTGAGGTTGGGCGATTGTTCTAGAAGTCGATCGAACCCAAGCCTGCGACGGAGCCCAGGAGCGGTAGATCCAGGCCCGACCAACTGGCAACTCCACTGGGGATAAGCCACCCTATAGTTGGCTCGGTCCGCTCTCAAACCGACATTCCATCTCACTCTTTCTTAAAAATTGCTATGGAGTCTAAGTACTCATCTCTCATTTGAATT